CAGTTATACGATTATGGGCAGTTTATAGAATGTCTATTTTATGCCGCTTACATCAAATTCGGTTAGTTCAATAAAAAAAGAGGGGGTTAGAAGCAAGGGGTGTACCGTAAAGTACCCATATTCCGTTCACCTAAGCCCCTTATTCCAATAATTTTTGAAAAATTCAAGAATAATGTAAAATGTAAAAATCTCAAATTAAGGTAAATGTGCTAGAAGATATTAACAAATGTTATATTGGAAAAATATTTAATACAGAAAACTTTCCAATGTATTGCAAATAAAGCCAAAAATGACCGGAATTAGGCGCTGAACGGAATTAGGGCACTTCACGGTAAGTGATTTTGAGAAATTCTCTTCATTGATTTTCTCTTTCGTTAATAATTCGGTTCAACGGCACCGGTGGTGTAGTGGTAAGCGTGATTAACTCTCACCCCAGCAGGCCTGGGTTCAATCCCAGTCGGCGCCGCCGGGATGTTCTGAGGCATAACATCTCTGATCACGCCTCCTTTCGGATGGGAAGTAAAGCCGTTGGTCCCCGGTTCATGAGTTGATGGGTCGATAGGTAGGGTCCAGGTGTGGGAGCTGCCTTCCTGGCACGTCGGTTGCACGGTTGGTGTTCAGCACGGAAAACAAGATCGACGGAAAAAACAAACCAAAGGAAAAAAAAAAATAATTCGGTTGCAAACATATTTCTTGATGCGCTTACCATTCTGAATGCTGAATGAGAATCTATTTTAGCCAGCTATGTAGCCGAAATAGCGAGAAACTAGTTTGTTTAGGCGTGGTTATAAAAAAAAAGTCGATGAAAAGAATCGCTCAAAATCACTTGCACCCCTTTGCTTCCAACCTCAATCAGGGTTCCTTCCATTCATTTTGGCTAAAAAAATGTTTTATTGAATTATGGAGTAATAAGATATTATAATGATATTTTGTATGTGTAAGTAACAAGACAAGATTGTAAAGTTTGTGTTTGAACCATAAAACTTACAAATTTAGCTTTGACAGAGTCACAATGAGTGGTTTTCTGATCGCCTTTTCGCGAAGAATGAAGAGCGAAGAGTGGGTGAGATGAATGACAAAATCGCTTATTGCGACTCTCATGTAGCAAAATTGGCAGCTATTATGTGTCAAACACAAACTTTACAATATTTTCTTGTTGCTTACGCCAACTAAATATTATCATAATACTTTATCATTCCATAATCTAATAAAGCATTTTTTTAGCTGAAATGAATGGAAGGAACTCTGCCCTCAATTAAGATTTTTGATTGAACCCCAAAATTCTGACAACTTCAAGGTACATCTTATTGTATACTTCTCACTAAACTAGACTATTTGACTGATTTTGAAAAGTAAAAGTGCTATTTTATGTCGAATAGTCTCGTATACCTTCATAGCACTTATTGCCTGCTCCGTGAGGAATAACTGCCCTGAATCAAGACGATTGGTTGCAGAAGCGCAGTTTTATTACCGTTTCAGCACTTTGCAAAGTCAGAAAAACAGACGAGTTTGGTGCGATGTAAGCAATACTGTTTTTTGAAAGTGAACAAGAATGTTATTTACTGAATTACTAATGCTAAAAAGAGTCTTACCGAGAAGCCAAGTATGTCGCTCGCCGCCTTCATATGCCTCGTACATTTTTTGCCTTAATGCGGAAATGTTCCAGATGAAGGCGTCATGATAAGATCCTGGATATCTGGCTTCTATGAATCGTATCATAGAATTATGATCACAAGCCTGAAAACAATTTCCAAACATTGTAAAGGATTATGAAATTTTCTTCCTGGCACATCAATAGAACTTACAATCAAACCATTCAAGCTGTAGAAACCCTTCCTATTGTAATATACATGGCGTGTATTCTTGCTAGGTGCAATAATTTTAATATGCGTACCATCTATTACTTGTGTGATACCGGGGATGCCACTTTTTAGATAAAAGGTTCTTTTAGCGTTCCGTTTCTCTTGCTCTGTCATTTCGGTTTTTATCCATAGTGGGCAGATCTTGCGTTCCATCACCTCCAGAAATTCTGCCAAGATATTTGACACCGTTGGTTGACTTAAACCAAGATGCATGTCGTTACCGACACATTGTTGATAGCTTCCAGTCGCCAAAAATCTAAGCGATGCACATATTTTCAAGACTGGTGAAATAGCCGTATTCCTATACGTCAACTTGAAACTGTTTTTGGTTAAATCTACCAGATACAAAATCGCCTCTTTATTCAACCTGTAAAATTTCACGCAACTGAAAGGAAAAAAAGGTTGTTCACTTGAAATGTAGCATTTCCACACCAAAACAAAAAAAAAATCTGATTTACAGTAAAACGTTGCGCAGATGTTCGTTATCACCCAATGCTGCATTTTTCATTGAGATCTTTTTACCCTTCTTCCAAAGAAGGTTAACCCTTTCCTTCCCACGGTAGCACAGGTGATCCACAACTTTTTTGAGTAAGTAAGCAGCGGAGTACCTGTTCCTATAGAAAATTAAATTTAAGTTTACCTAGTTTCTAAGTGAAAATGTACCTGTGTTAATATATATTCGGTAAATGCGATGTTTTTCTTCAGTCGAGTATTAGTACAAGACACTGAAGAAGTCTGCACATTGTAGACGAAATACGCGTATCTGTCAAGGATAAGCAAATAAAGTAGTGGAATTAAATGGAAAATACTAATCCTTCTCTCTCTCATTAAACTTTTTTGACTTCCTCATGTTTGTCAGCGTGCCATTAAATAGGCAATACTTATCTAACCCTATTCGTATGGCCATTATATTCGACCATACATGGTTTTTGGAATCCAACTGGTCAACTATTGAAAAACAATTAAAATACTATTGATTTTAACCAAAAACTTTTTTTTATGGATTTGATATTTAAAGGTTATATGCAACAGTTTTTGTTCCAGCACTTTTCTTAGGAACGCATAACGTATGTCAAAACTATCAAAAACCGTGTGGGAAGGAAAATCAAGACTAGGACCAAAGATCCGAGAACTTACGATAACAGTTGAACCACAAGCTAAATGCCATTTAATACTTGAAATCCACCATGAAACCTCAACTTCGTTAATAACAAAAATTACACGAACTTCAATATTGTTGCAAAAAAATTTTCAACAAAAACAAACTTGAATATTATTAATCATTAAAAATATTGATCGTTATTTGTCAAAAATGACATGACGCTAGCGTTTTATGGCCAATTCAATCTGATTCAGTCGACTTCCATAATGCCTATTTTTGCTACACTCGACAGCCACTCGACGGCGTCGAGTGTCGAGTTACTCGACGAGAGTGTCGAGTTACTCGACACTCGACGCTCGACTCGACTTACATAATTGGGGCCTATATTGAAACCATTTTATATATGAATTCAGAGCTTTAATGGTAACGGTTATGGTAGTCGGTAAGGTTCATAGAAGGTTTTGTAACATCGATTAACTTTATGTGGAATACATCGCCAATTGGTTACCTGTAAATTACTGATTACCAATTCGCGATATATTCCACGTAAAGTTGACCGATAATACAAAACCATTGATGAACATAACTGGCTTCCATAACCATTACCATTAATGTTCTCAAACCATAAGTAAAAAGGCTCTAATATAGTCCTCTCTCCAAAAATGTATGTAAAAAACAATTATTTTGAATGGTAATGGTTCTTAACAACCCATTATTTGTAAGGTGTAACGTTCATGTAAAGTTCCATAACCATTTCAGTTACAGTTTAGCAGGGATTATAAGCAATTTTTAACCATTTTCGGTAAGGAATGTGCACTAATGTGCACATAGAGGTGATGCATTCTCTTATGGCGGTAAGCTCCCATCGGTATTATCCTCGGATTAAATCCCGATCTAGAATGTCCGGCTGCTTTGATATCGACATCAGAGTTATTCAACACGATGCTATGCAAACACATCGCAGATCATCCAAACACGGAACGGTATTAATCTATGGCTGAAACGATAAAACATTAACAAACCATTGAGGTAAAATTAAAATGCCAGAGATCAAAAAGTCCCTCAGCTCAGTAGATAAAGGTGATGCTATAAAGCAAGACTATGCTGGAGGCGGCTTGGTTCGATTCACGGTCCGGTCTAGACTTCCCTGAGCATAGTATGTGATTGTACTTGCCACACAATTGTACTAATGCAAAAATTGTACAACCTTGGAAAAATCTCAATTGACAACTGTTAGAGTACATCAAGAACAATTTATTGAAAGTTGACATAAATTCCCAGTGGGGACGTAATAAATCCAAAGAAGAAGATTGAAAAATAAGTAAGGTGACGAAAAGAAAGTAGTTTTGAATTCATTCTCTTGTCTATTATGACGGAAGTTTGTGTAATCTGGAATCTGGGACGTAGAATATTGAGATTGACAAGAGTTTTTCGAAATGCGTACACACACAAGAGCAATCCACCACTTTTCAAAATTTGGCCTAATGACCCATTCAGCATATTCGTATTCGGTCTTGCGTTCTTCGACTTAATGTCCATGTAATTAATAGTCTTCTTCTTAGCAACTTATGTTTTACAATTAAATGGGAGGTAGGATTTTTTCATAAATTTGCATTCTAAATTGAAATCAACATTGTACTTTAATTACATATCACCGCTCGGCCAACCAACCATACTTTGAACAAGCTCCATCGCCTCCGGCCACCATCCATTACAATCAGTTTCCGATCAAAACAACTCAATCGTCAAAACATTATTGCCTTCAGAGGGGAAAAGAATGCACATTTTTCATTTCGCTGGTGCATACAATTTTCTCGCTTCGCTAACGCTATCAAACAGTTTTAAACCTAACTGCAACGATAAAAAAAAAAAAACAGTTCCATCTTCACACTCATGATGCCAATCCAACTCAAGCTCGTCAGGTGTGAATAGCTTTTATAGGGCGTCACGCAACGTAATTTAACTTCAACTGATGAATCATCAAACTGGTGCAAAGGGCCACATAGTGAAATGATTCCATTAAATTTCCCCTTCGGTTTAAAGCTTAATCAGAAAACATATATTTCCACATTGAAATAAAGGAATGAAAACAAACAAAAAAAATAAACATCATCTATGGCACATGCTTCTCGAGTGAAGAACAACTCGCGATCAATCCCTCTCGAACAGCACCGGAAAGGGTTGATCCGCCGGCGGTTGCAGCCAGTTTTCACCGGAATATTCACTGTTCTCCGTTTCAATCACGTGGAAGGTGTACGCATGCCGGCTACGGTCCGATCGGTTCGCGTCGCTCCGGTGCACCACCTGGCTGTGGATGAGGACCAGCGAGCCAGCTTTCACCGGCGTGGCACAGAAGTTTGACTGCGGGTACAGCGGAGCTGGGCGGTCGTAGATCAGAAGCTCTGGGGAGGATTTGTCCGGGTTGCGGATGTATCTACGGGATATGAGAGATTAGTAATGGCTGATCAACGCTCGGAAGAACTGACAAACCTTCTGTGAACTCCACTCTGGTGCGATCCTTTGATAAAGTGTAGGCATCCGTTCTGTAGGGTAGCATCTTCCAGGGGGATCCAGAAACCGATAGTCGAACTAGGTTCCGTATACAGGTAGGTTGAATCCTGATGTGGCTTGACTTCTCCTCCGATTCCGGGGTTTTTGAAGATGTACATACTCTGAGCAACGGCCGGCTTTTGGAAGCCCAACTGCCAGCACACTTCCTTCACTCGGTTGGAGAACGTGACCTTGTTGAATACGGCATGATCTGTATGCAGGGCGTGACCAACTTTGTTCAGTGCCACCGAGGGATCCACCAGCAGTTCTCCATTTTCAGCTACGGCACCTTCTTCGAAGAAGTACCGAATCTTATCACCACTTTCGATAAAATACCGATCTCTGCTTTGGGTAGCACTGGAGTTGATAGTGCTGAATACCTTTCGCTCCTCCTTCGGGGCATCCTTGTGAAGATTCTGGCCGGCTTCCAGCAGCTCTTTGGTTTCTTCTGCAGACAGGAAATTGTCAATCACGGCGTAGCCGTCTTCCAATATCTGTAAGAGGGATATGAAGAAAAAAAAAGAGACTTGTTAGTACACTTGCACGCATACAGCTGTTGACAGTACGTCACTCATTGTCAGGTTCAAGGGGGGCAATGACGTGTGCAAAAATTCCTAGAATTCCTCTTCCCTTTCTCGTGCGTGACTGGGTGATCTCACGAGACAACACATCACCACCGCAAGAAAGAAGCGCATTATTTTTGAATCCTGCACCGAGATTACTCAGGCGAATTTCCGTCCGCTCTTTCGAGACACGAGACGTTTCGGAGAGAAAGACTCACCCATCTGCAACCGATCGTTGCCTCTATAAGGTGTATGGATTCTTGTGCGAGATGTGTGGTTATTTTAAGAAAATTATGAGCACGCTGTTTCCTACCTATAAGAAGAACCGGTGACGATGCGCACATTTTCGGCATTGCATCATTGACCGTGTAGGAAAAAAAGTCATCGTCGCGTAAAGTGCGCGCAAAGTGCAATTTCGAAGTGGTGTGGCGGCATCCCTGTTACTGTTCTGTAGAGGTGTGACTTTCAAGTGTGATGAAAAATCGTCGAAACGGACGACGACGATGACGGCGGGAAATGCACTTGGCCCTTGTTCGTGCAGGTGAGAGAGTGGTACAGTTTTGCGCAGTACGATCAAGTGCACACAGTCGGTGGACTTAAATGGGATCGTACCGGGTGACCGAGTAGATTGTTGTGGTTTGCGATGAATCACATGATTGCTAGTAGGGTAGCGAATGTTTGAACTTGAGCTCATTTGATTGCGACAGAGATTTGCAGTTGAATAGTTTTCGAGCGCATTTGAAGTCAGGTTGGACTTGCCTTTTCAAGTCTGTGAAGATTTTTTGGATAAACTTTTGTAATTTATAGGAATTACCGTAGAATCTTGTTATTGATGGCTTGATAGCCATTTAACATGTCTTAAATGGCCTTATCTGGAAAATCCTATTAAGTTTTTTTTTTAAAGAAGCTGCCTTTGGAATCAGATTTATCATGAGTTTAAGAATATTCTAATGAAATCAAATGGATGCGTTTGTATGAGTGACAAACTTTTAAATTGCCTCAGTTTGGATTAATTTGTTCCCTTGAAACCTTTTGAAAACCTTTGAAAGCTGATCGTAACTTGCAAAATAAGTTCCCCGGAGCGCTTTGTCTTCTTTCCTTTATTTAACGTCGGTCTCTGTTCCGCAATCTAGTGTCAATCACCGACGGACATCGATTGCCATCCATTGACGGCGACCGAATGTGCAGGAAGGCAGCTTCCACACCTGCTTAGGATATCGCACCCATTCAACACACATGGGCCGGGACCAACGGCTTTACTTCCCTTCCGAAGAAAGACGTGACCAGAGATTTTTATGCCTCAGAAAAATCTCACCGACCTCGGCTGGGATTGAACCCAGACCCATCGGGGTGTTAGAAAGCAGTCACGCGTACCATTACACCACCGGCGCTGGCTGGAGAGCTTTGGGAGTAATTTCCTTTGAATTCCATTCAATTTTCTTTTGACATCTACGCGTATTTCGTCACCGTAGACTTCCTCAGTGCAAAGTATTCAAGTACCACCAATTCCATGATATATTTTCACTAGTATTTTTGGCTTATTGCACAAGTCTTGACAATTTGCAAATCATGAAGGGCCCAACTAAGTCACTTTCAATCGAAAATCGTCAAGCGACAACGTCAATTGAAATTCATTCTGTCTTCTCTTCGAGCTGATCCCCTTCAACATCAACAGAACCCCTTTTCGATCAGTTGTCATGTTGTTTATTTTGGCTTGACTCGTGTTCATTTCGTCTTACATTGCCAAACGAACTTACGTTCGCATTGAAGCAAAGCTGTTCGTTCCAAATTCGCGCAGTTTTTCTGGCTTTTGTAGAGTGTTCACTCAGTTCATTTAAGCACATGCGCATAAATCTGTGAAGGCACTCGATTTCAGAAAAAGTGGGAAATACTGACGCCGACCCATCAATATGGGTATTTTTGGATTCAGGGGGCCCTAGCAGTACACTTGTCACTTAGTAGTTGTGGTAGCTTGTATGTAACTTGTTTTAGTTACAATCAAGGTTCAGCAACTTAATATGATGGAAGTGTGCTGCTTGGGTGACGTCCAGATCGAAAATCGATATGCGACGCCATTTTAAAATCCAAGATGGCGGCTTCCAGTTTAAAGAAATATATGGGAAATACTGTCAAATACCCATTAATATAGGTATTTTTTAAATCGGGATGACGTCCAGAGGCTGGATATTCGACGTATTTTTAAATCCAAGGTGGTGGCTTCCAGTTTAAGAAAAAGTGGAAAATGCTGCCATCAATATTGGGATGATTTCTAGAGGATGGAAATCGATCACCGACGCCATGTTGAAATCGAAGATGGCGGCTTCTGGTTTAAGAAAATTGGGAAACAGTGTCAATTTTAGCATAGGGATGACGTCTTTTTGACCTTTTTGACCAAACCTTGGTTTGTTTTCCGTCGATATTGTTTTCCGTGCTGAGCACCAATGCTACCGACGCCAGGGAGGCTGCTCCCATTCCTGGACCTACCTACCGACCCATCAACTCATGGACCGAGGACCAACGGCTTAACTTCCCTTCGGAAGAAAGGCGTGATCAGAGATGTTATGCCTCAGAACATCCCCACTGCACCAGGGATGACGTCTAGAGAAATGAAATCGACGTTCGACGCCATTTTGTAATTTGACATGGCGGCTTCCGGCTTAAGAAAAGTGGTAAATACTGTCAAATACCCATTAATATGGGTATTTTCGGAAGTGGGATAACGTCTAGAGAATGAAAATTGATATTTGACGCCATTTTGAAGTCCAAGATGGTGGCTTCTGATTTCAGAAAAAGTGGGAAATACTGTCGAATACCCATCAATATGGGTATTTTTGAAATCGGGTGACGTCTAGAGAAAAAACAGTGATGGCCTTTAAATAAGTAAAATAGGCCGATTTTCATACATACTGAAATTTTGACACAGACTACAAATATGCATGTACGTAGCATTAAATTATTAGAAGCAATTGCCGGAAATTGACGGGCTGGTTGAAAATGACCAACTAATTAGCAGATTTATTATTAGAAATTTCAGCTCAATTGATCATAACAAAACATAGTTGCAACATGCCAAAGTTGGCTTGTTTGTATGAAAATCTGCCTATTGTGCTAATTTAAAGGCCACCACTGTATATATGCGTTGCCATTTTGAAATCCATATGGACGGCTTCCGGTCAAAAAATTGTAAATTCTATCAAATACCAATTCATACGTTTTTTTTAGAGTCGGGGTAACGTCTAGAAGCCGGAAATCGATATCCGATGCCATTTTGAAATTCAAGCCGGCGGCTTCCGATTTGAGGAAAGTGTCAACCCTAACATATGACTATTTTCGGAATGTGGATGACATGTAGATGCCGAAAATCGATGTCGAACGCCATCTTGAACTTCAAGATGGCGGCTTCAGGTTTCAGTAAATGTGGGAAATACTGTCAAAAACCCAAAAATATGGGTATTTTCAAAATCCCAGAAATGTCTTGAGGCCAAAAACCGATGTTTGATGAAATTTCAAATCTAATATGGAGGCTTTGGTTCAGAAAAAAAAGTGTGAAATACTGTCAAATACCGATCAATGTGGGTATTTTTGGAATCGGGGTGACATCTAAAGGCCGAAAATCGATGTCTGACGCCATTTTGAAATTAAAGATGGTGGCTTCCGATTTTAGAAGAAGTGTTAAATACCCTACAAATGGTGTCGAATATCAATTTTCAACATCTGGCGTCGGCCCCGTTTCATATTGTAGAGTATTTGATGTTTTTTTGAAACCCAATAGCATGATGTTTTTTTGAAACCCAATGACACTTTTTCAGAATCCCGATGGCCACCATCTTGGATTTCAAAAAGGCATTCAATCTAGATTTTCGGCATTTACGCGTCGTCCCCATTCTAAAATAGATATATTTGAGGGTATTGACACGTTTTCTTTAAATCGACGGCCGTCATCTTGGATTCCAAAATGGCGTGGGACATCGATTTTCGGCACCTTCCCGTTGCCGTTGCAAAAATACCCATATTATAGGGTATTTAAGACTTTGTTTTGAGCCCGATGGCAGCCATCTTGGACTTAACAATTACCTCGTTAATTTAATTTTTGTTTAATATAAAATGACAATTTATTACTACATATAATCCGGATGCCATCCCTATCGGCAAACGATAATGTGCGGATACTATCCGGAGCCCCGAATTGATGTGGAAAATTAAGCCATTTTTCGTCCGGGAGAAATACCCTGCGGAACTGAGCGTCTACGTGCACACTGGTATAAAGGGTGATACGGTCAAAATTTGGTCAAGGGAAAACGCGTGTAAATCGGTGAAATCGTTTATTTAAAAAATCAAATTAAATTTCTTTTTCAAGTTCAATTAGTATAAAATTCAGGAAAAATATTCAGTTAGGCTTCCCGGAAGCTGCTTGTAGTCGGCTTTGACGTAGGTTTCGTCGTACATTACCACGCAGTCAAACTTCGTCAGCATCGTCGTGTACGCTGCTCTTCTTGCTTGGACGGCATTTTGACAACTGAAGAGTGAATTCCAAAATCAAAATAGGAGCAACATTCTACACACACACACACCTTCAAAATGAGGGGTGTTCAGGTTTTTTAAATGCAAAATTGAAAGAAATACGTCAAGATGATATTGACCAAATTTTGACCGTATCACCCTTTAATTCCCATAAAAGCAAATCAGTCTAATCTGAAAAAAAAACAGCAAGCCGAGAAAAACGCTATTCACAATTCAAGACCAACAATTGAAAAGGCCTGAACTCAATTTTGTAAACAAACCTTGTTCACGACAAAATGACCTTACAAGGTTTGTTTACAACATGGAGTTGAGGCATTTTCAATTGTTGCTCTTGAATTTATTTACCTGTCGACTCTTATGGATAGGACAATCAAGTTTTGGTATTTCACCATATTTATTTTTTTAAATTT